TGAACCGACACGCCGAAGTGTGACCAGGGTCAACCGTCACGTTCGAACATTTTCAGGGTTTTTGCGACCCCCTTTTCTCAAGGGGGTCACCCCCTTATCTCAAGGGGGTCCAGTTGCGACCCCCTCTTAGGTAATGGAAGTGCCGAATGTGCTGACTAAATGTTAAGTGAAATATTTATTTCACTCATTTTACTTCAAAGACAGTGAACTAAAACCTTTTAAAGACAATGAACTTCCATGACATAGAACAAAACATTTGAATATTGAATTCTTCACTGGCATTTGAATTGAATTCTTTTCAAAAAATCATTGAATTTTTTTCAAAAATTCAATGATTTTTTGAAAAAAATTCAATTCAAATGTTCAGTAAAGAATTCAATATTCAAATGTTGTGTTCGTAAGTTCGTAAGTTCATTGTTTTCAAATGGACAATGAACTTCCATGAAATATGAACAGAACATTTGAATATTGAGATCTTCACTGAAATTTGAATTGAATTGTTTTCAAAAAATCATTGAATTTCTGAAAAAAATTCAATATTTTTTTCATGTTGCCCAAAACTTCAAACTTCATGCTTCCGAAAGAATCACAAGAGCAGTTCAAGGGAGTAAATCAAAGAGAGTTACGTTCTCCATCAATGCATCTCCTAAGATGAGCCCCAAAGGAGCAAGAATCACAGGGCACTGGCTAATGAAAGCTATTTTTTATGGTTAGCCTCGCGAGATCAAAATTTTTGTTCGCTCACAATCACGCCAAAATGAGGATGAAAGCGAAATGTGTAAGACCAAATGGAGGGATATCCAACAAGTAACATGAAGACTGACGAACTTCTGCTCAAACAGCTGAAAAAAGAGGAAGGATTAAAGAAGAGTAGGACTGACATGATTGCGTCAGAAACCGCCGCAGAAAGCGTTTGCGTTGCGGCGTCAACCTTGGAGCGCGGCAGGTATCACCCGGACGCTGGAAAACTGGGACGCGGCGAAGAAAAAGTTTTAGGAGAGTGTAACTTTCTTGAGACGTATTTGTTTCACTTATTGAGGTAGGTTTAAACTGTGCCTGAGGTGGCTTTACAGAAAATTGCAAGGATGACCTAACTCTCCCAAAGTATTTCTGTCAGAAGCGGAAAACCCAAAATTCTGAGAAGGCGCACCTCCAACTTTGAAGAGCCTCATAAAATCTTTCGTATGCGACATCTTGGAAATTCTGTAAAAAGTTTTAGAAAACTTCAAATATTTCTCTAACAAAAGATTATAAAAAGTTAAGTGATTGTCCCCTTTTTCAAAAATTTGTCCCGTTCGAACATTTTCCCGTGCAAAAGCGAGTTTTTAAGCTTTCAGCGACTATAACTCACTTCATTTTGATGCGTGTTGTGTTTGTTTCTTTCCATGGGGTGAAAGAGCAGGTTTTGCTCTTTCTAATAAGCCCTAAACCATTTTTCAAAGTTCATTTTTCGAGAAAATCCCACGTTCGAACATTTCGGGCGGTTTTGCCGAACACATTCTTTGAAATCGCGAGTTTTTGGGCTTTCAACGAGCATAACTCGCTTCATTTTGATTGCTGCGTTTCCCTCTTTCCATGGGGTGAAAGAGCAGAATTTGCTCTTTCTAACAAGCCCTAAACCATTTTTCAAAGTTCATTTTTCGAGAAAATCCCACGTTCGAACATTTGGATCCCATAGGTTTTTGAGCAGCACATGCGAGTTTTTCGAGCTTTCAGCAATAATAACTTCCTTCAAAGAGCATGTTGGAAAGAGGCGAAGACATTTTTGAAGACCGCGAGGTTTCTTCTTTCTTATGTGTTTCACGATTTTGTGGAAGAACCGTCCGTAGAAAAGTAGGTTCCCGAAGAAGTTCAATTTCAGCCACAAGAAGTCAAACTTTTCATGGAGATGCATTCAACTGTTCTCTATTCCTCAAGGAAAACACCGTAATTTGCCTAAAACTGTCTCTGTGCATAATTAATCGAATCTAATGCGGTCTGCACAAACAATTCTTGCCCTCGGATACGCCACGCACGCGCCTGTGGCTGGCAGTCCTCGAAATTGCGACCCCCTTCCGACCAAAATGCGACCCCTTCGTTCGAACAGTTCGAACGGACGGTTGACCCTGGTGGACCGCCGTTACGTACGAGTAGTTACTGTTGCTGAACCGTAACCTGATCTATGGTCAACGAGGCCGCCCTATCGCTCCATGTTGTTGTGCAAACATTCCAGCCCACTATTAAAGGCTATTCGACATCAACAATGGCGCCGCGCTCCGCTCGTTCCCCGGGCCGTGACCCAGCGGGCTATTTTATAGGCAACTTCTATCTTCAGACAACGATCATTTCTGTTTCTTCGCCAACCATTTCCACCATTTGTCATTTTCGCATTTCGTTCATGCTGCTCTAGCGCTTCTCCTACGTACGTTTTTGCAGATATAGCCCTCTCTACTATCAACTACAAAAATGAGTTACAACAATAGCATTTGTTATCAACCAGACGGAGCAGCTTCCAACCGGTCGATGGACAAATAATTCGGCACCACGACGCCTGCAATGACGCTTCTTGTAACCAGGCTCATCTCCATGGAAATGGAAATTCTGCCAAGGACAAGTTGAACAGTGCCGGCCAAGCCATTAAGCACACGGCCGAAAAAATTGGCGATAAGCGTGAGCGAAATTTTTTGACGTTTTTTTCGCTGAAGGCCATTTTTTGACGCTGCCTTCTTTTGAGCCCTCATTTGTATTGTTATAAGTAATTGTTACACGGCCGTAGAACTGAAGGATAAGGCCAAGGACGCAATCACGGGCAACTAAACAAGTTTTGAATATTCTCATGTACATTTGTACACATTCTGTTCGATAGCTCTCATTCCACGTTTTGCTTTCATTGTTTAAAGATTTTGAATGATTTCGAATATTTCGAAAAAAAAATATAATAAATATTACAAGATCAGTTGTTGAAAAAGGCTTGGATGAAAAACCGGTCACAACCTCGGTTCGACAGTGATTGTCCCGTTGAACAAAGTGCATACCTCACAAGACTCGGAAGTCCTCTCTTCAAGGTGTTTCGTGCCACTTCTGAGTTTATAATTGTGACAAAAAAACCATTAAGTCGGCCCTTTCTGGCCCTATCCCCACAGCGAACACTCTCCCCACATTGGCAATGTGAGCGTGGTTGTCTATCCCGCTCCTCCACAAACTCGAAAACTAGCTATATATTTCATCGAAAACCTCGAGTTTCTGCCTCACCCTCCCCGACCTGATTGGCACAACATACGGCTAGCCCTGGTCGCAGCGCCATACGTCGCTATCCCTCGCAAGTTGCGGCCACCACTGGCCGAGGAACTCATGAGGTAGCACGAGCTGGTTAGGGGTTTACCTAATGGCGTCCTACCCCGATGATGGAAGGAAAATGAATTTCCCTGGAATAAAAGCCATCACGCCAAATTCAATGCTATAGGGGACAGGGTGCTTAGGAAAGTAGCGCTTTTCGACGAGTTCGGGGTTTCGGCCCTGCGTGCTGAGCGTAGGAAAGTAGCGCTTTTCGACGAGTGCGGGGTTTCGGCCCCGCGTCTGCCAGAGCAAACGGGTAACAGATGGTTTTTTTTTTCAAAACCCCAGAGCTTTCCATTTTTGCAGAGGTCTGCAGATGCAGGCTTGGTTTCTGATCACCGTAGATCCCACACGGGGATTCCCCACATGTTTACGCTTGCTCATGCTGTTTACGCAAGCATTGCTCAGATCTGTGAACATGGATTCCTGAGTTGTTATTCCCTGATGCAGCTTCACTCGTAAACAGATCCCTTATTGCAGCTATTTTGTTTGTCAGCATCGATGTTTGGCCAAATAAGCCTGCTGCATGGCAACAAATAAGCCGTTGGCTGAATGTGGGCTTTTTCTATCCTGCTTGGGACCAGGTAAAAAATCCACACATAAAGGATGAATCTTAAATGTATTCGAGACGACAGGGAGAAATTGTCGCCATGGTGAGCCGCGGAAGTCAGCAAGCAGCGCTTCCAGAGGTGCAGGCGAATTTATCGCCCGCGCTATACCGCAGTATGATAAGGGACATCCTTTAGGATCAGCCTCCGAAGCTAGAACTTAGGGAAAATGTAAATTGCTCATACGCCCTGGCGTCTCTCGCCCCCCACCTGAAGCTTGATCCCGATTTTAGCAACAAAGAAATGGTTTACGCGAGTTCTAATGCACTATCACCACAATGCCCCTGAATATTGCGATTAGGCACCGCGCGCTCGTCTGTTGTCGATGTGAACCTTTCCTCGGGAATTGCCGCTCTACTGTGTCGGACGCACCAACGCCATTGCAACGGCACAGGACTTAATATTTACTATAGGGAAAAAACTGTCGGGTAAAGTGTTAATTAATTGGGCGTAGAAGATCTGAGTCGCCGCTGTGGAACCCATTAGGGTGGGGGGGGGTTCATGTTGTGGGGCGGTTTTCGGCGCAAGGAAGGTCAAATCCAGGTATCCCCCTAAGCAGGAAGTCCCCAACTTCATAAACTATGAAAATGGAGAACTGTTGTATGAGTCAATGGTAAGTGAACATTAGCTAGCCAATTTTTGAGCGCAAAAACTGCTGCGTGAACATCCCTATTCATCTTATTTATTTATTTATTTATTTCTTATTTATCTTCATTTATTGTATTTATTCTGTCAATGTCCCAGAAAGGCAATACACAGTAATTAAGTCCAGTCATTATCCTACAAATGGTAGGCGGCCAAAGTTAACAGGAAAGGTACCGCCACCATAGAAAACGAGCTAATCTATCCGCATCGGCGTTTCCGGTTTTTCCTGAAACAGCATCTGTAGGGGTAAACAAATGGCCTGATCACGAATATTACATTCATTTGTGAGAAAGAGGCATCTTCCGACCAGTTTGAATAAGTGTCCCTGAGTCTGCTTAGTTGCCCTTGATTGCATCGACTCCATCCTGGATCTTTTCCTTGGCCTTGTCCTTCAGCTCTCCGGCCTTAAACAATTTTTCTTGTCGACTGTACAGGATCAGTTGGAGAATGAAATCTTAGCAACTGCATACCTTATCGGCAACTTTTTCAGCGGTGTTTTTGATGGCACGGCCGGCCTCGTTCAGTTTTCCCTTGGCGGTATTTCCAGCTTCCTGAGCGTTATGGCTGCCATCGCGGTTATAGTCGATGTTGTGACTGAACGGGTCATCATCAGCCAATCGGATCCTGCGGGATGAATCACACCGGAATCGCTGTACAGCGGGACGTTGGTCTGGTTGTAACCTTGGTTGTAGTTCATTTTTTTCGCGTATCTAGAAAGAGAAACAGTCAGAAATGGCGGTAGTGTGTGAAATGAAAGCCGTACAAGGCAAGGTACAAGAGCAGATAAGAAAGACGAGGCGGAGGAGTGGAGAAGAGCCTCATTCAGAAATAGAAGAGCCGCGACTAGAAATAGAAAGCTAGGCTGGAGCGAGAGCGTGCCGTTACTGCTGCTGGCCAACCTTTATAAAGCGCTCGGTTGTTTACGCAGTTTCAAGCGACCAAGCAACCATTGACCACAGATCAGAGCTCTACTGCTTTTCTCTCGCATCGAAAATCCCCTAATGATCAGCTAGTAATGAAGTTTGTGTGGTGTTTGAAAATCATGGAACTAGGCTGAAACGAAAATAGAGCCTTCGAATCAGCACAGCAGCTTTCGCAATGGTTCTTGTTGCCCACAGTAGTGTCTTTTTGTACTGGGAGCAAGGCCATGTATGCATCAAGGAATCCTTAAATATGGGGCCGTATTTGGTCCTTTAAGAGAGAGAGGGGCTGCCAAATATTGGGTTCAGCGGCGAACAGGGTATCGATAGGCGGTTTGTGAAAGTATGGAAACCGCGGCTCGCACTGTATGGAGCTGGATGTCGAGCACACCGCCTCAATTGCTGTTCCATGCAATGAAAATGCTACTTAGGAGAGATCTCAAGTGGTTTCGGAGGAATCCCTGCGAAATCCCTTAGAAAAGCCATTACGATAAAGAGGGAGCGCATCGGGGAAGTATACACTCCGTTGCAAAACTATACGACATACCCCAAATTTTGGAGTTTCTGAAGTTGCGAGAAACTCTGCACGAAAATGGCTAATGCCATTCGATTCAGCGTGTAAAGAAACCTACAAAGAGAATCTTCAAGCAGTTTTGTCAAATTCCAGAAATCTAGGATCAAAAATTTGAAAAAACGGCCGTTGCAAAATTATACGACATAGCAGAAATTTCGACAATTTTTTTGACAATTTTTTTGT